TGAAAGCTTATGATCTAATAAATTTGTTAGTCTCTAAAGTGCCACAAGTACTCCTGTTCTTTTTTGCGGATACAGACTAACACGGCTGCTACTCTGAAAAAAGTACCATAGGATTTTTTGGAAACCTGGACAGCTACTAACATTGACTAGAACAATCCTCATTTAATCAAGCAGGAAATAAATGATTCAGAAGATTGGTAATGGGATATGGCATCTTTCACTTCTAAGTCATGTACTGAAATGCAATCTAAATCTATAGGTACCAAAACATATTTCTTTTTAATGGTTGATCAGCATATGTGAAAACAGTTGCTGATCTAAGTCCAAGAGGACAGTTATGCACATCCTAAAATTGTCATGACAATTGGGAGTCTCAGCAGAGAGACCAAGGATCAAATGGGCTAGGGCACGGCAAACTGTCCTCTTACTCCTAAAGTGAAGTCCGTTTGAGGAAGGTAGTGGCATGATATCACAATGTCATGGGGAAGCTTGCACTGCAGCTATCCAGTCTAAACCAGTATTGTGGTAAACAGGGCTATGAATCCAACACCTGCTATTAGCTTTAAAAAAAAAAATCCCACAAGAAGTATTCCTCCAAAGGATGACACCTCTTGCTGGGCTTAGAAAAGGTGTGCAAAAAATGCATTTATGAGTCGAGCAACATTCCTATATTGTTTTATATTAACCTTGTTCTGTTAATTTCCATGCAAACAGCAAGGAGACACCTTTAGGCGTTTGCTAGGTGTCAGTTCATGTGTATTTCCTAACACATCTTTAGACCTACAAATGAGACAGTTCTGTACCTCAGACTTAATCACTAGTGACATATTAAGAGCTAAAACAAGTAACAGAGATAACCCCATTCAGTAATTACTTCATTATATTTGTGGGACATCTTAAGATGTTTTCAGCATAAGTTGCTGTAAATGGTTGCAAGTACACAGCTTTTATTTTGACATATGTCCCCTTTGCAGTGTATTCTGAACAAAATGTAAAATCAAGATTCTGACCACACGTGGCATGTTTGGTATCAGTATTAGAGAGGCGTTACTCCTTGGGGAACGGGCCAGTGTTCAGGTAAATGGAACCAGGTGACTGGCTATTTTGCACGAGTTTGAGGTCATAGGGTGGGGAGGCAGCACGGTGCTGTGGGGAAGGGAGGAAGTCTGGCAGTTTAGAGAAGGAGCTGGGTTAAGACTTCCAACAACACTAAATCCCAGTCTGCCTGCAGCCAGCTCCTTAAACCCTATCTGACCCTCACAATGACACTTGTCCTCCTTTGGTGACAGTTGCCACTCCATCCCTAATCCAGAAAGCACCAAGAGGCGGCTTCAGGTTCTTGCAACAAAAGCCAGGGACTTGGGACCTCCGGGGATAAAGCCTGGGGTAGTTCTATAATGAAGGTGCTGTAGGCTGCTGGTAAAAATGTGGTGGGGGCTTATTTTAAGGAGGCAAGGAAAAAAATTGTAGAGGACAGGGACTAGGGACCTTGTGTGGATGCAAAGAGGGGTCCCATGAGGTTTCCAGGATAAGTGTACTCATTCTTATAAGTTCAATGTGACCTCTAAAAAGCCAGTTTGAACAAATGCATTTCATGTTGAATCATGTATATTGTCAAACTTGGCCAACTGCAAGAGGGAGCATGTTCCAAAGTCAATGGCCCTCCACTGAAAATGTCCTGTTACCTACCCTCGGTAGTTCCCTTGCGACAGACTACAAATGCGTTCCAGCCAATCACAGCTGCTATGGTAGGCTCAGAGGGGAGAGATTTAGGGCTTTATTGATAACCCTGAATAGCTTGAATCTCACCTAAAGTGAAAGGTGAACCTATGCAGACCATGCATGTGTTATGTGCTTACGTCAGACAGCCATATTTATACTAGACTTTGTTGTTATGACCCGCCCAAAATAAAGTGTATTGCCTCAGTCCGAATATGACAAATGCATGAATAATAGTGGTGAGATCAGCATGAGAAAGGCCACACCTCCCTGCAAGCTGAATATGATACAAGTTATTTCTGGTTACTGCTCACTCCTGGGAATCTAGGAGCAGTGAAACATCCAAAAAGACACTGAACCAAGAAAATAGAGGCTAGACATAACAAATAGAGGAAACTTCACCAGTTCCTCAGAATGATTCTTCTTGCAGTACCTTCCAGTGTCATCTGTCTTTTCTGGATTGAATTTTAAGTGGCAAATCCTGCCCTTGCAATTGGATTCCTGGAGATGGAACCAGTGCATTTCTGCTATGCAGGGAGAAGGCACTTTGAAAAAGAGGCACACTCCCTGCAAAGCCTTATTCTGAGAAAGGTGTCTGAGAAAGGGATGGGCCAGAGGATTCACTACTGAATGGACTCAGCTATCTCCTTCCTACCCTCTCTCAAGTAATGGAGCTATACAAGGTGCATGAGGGACTACTTGAGCCGTTTGGCTGAAGCAGCTTGCACAGAGCTGCTCTGCAATTTGCTGCTCAGCTATTCTATAGCCTGTGGTAAGTATTCCTTCCCCAATGCACAAATCCCAGCCAGACTGCTAAGGAGCCAGAAAACTTAAATAATGTAGATGTTACCATAGCTCCTTGCTGCTACCCTATCTCTGCCCCTTTCACCAAAAGAGAAAGTGTGAGTTACTGCCAAGCCTGGAAAGACAGTTATGAGAAAGAAATGGTTCCTTGAGCAAGGGTTCCAGTACTTAACACCACATCTAAGTATTTAAAAACATTCACCACCTTGTATACTTTTCAGTCGAATAAGGTATTCTTTACTGACCTAAAGTGTTTTAGAGTATCAAAGTGTACTGACATGGTTTAAAAAACTGTCACATTCCATCTCAGAGGTGGTGACGTTTCAGTAATGGATTAAGAGAACCTTGTGTGGTTTCCATATTAGTTTACGTTTGTACAGTTTTTTGGGGTGATAGGTGCTACATAAACATAATTGTTCACAAATAGTTGCAAAGTGACATTACAGAACAACCCAGCCCTTCTTCCCTCCTCTCTTTATGTCCCCACAGCTACAGGTACACACATGCACATGGACACACTTCTCTTGGTCACAATCCCTAGTCATTTCACAGTATCAAAGCAAGAACAGTTTAGTTACTTGTAGAAAGCTTCTTTTCTTTCTTTTCTTTTCTTTTTTCCCCCATGCAGTAGCACTTTTGTAGTTTAACATGATACCTGTCTAGTTATAGGCACTTGGGTTCCCGGTGGAAAAAAGAACAAAAGATAATCTTTGAAATTAGGTCACACTGTCGACTCTTCAAAGTCCTCTTGTGGAGAGGGAGGGAAGCAAGATCAGTAAAAAGCTCTGCCAGCTTCAAGTTGTCTTTGACAGATTCTGTATTGGCAGTTTTCTGTTTTGTTCTCTGCTGTATTTTTCCTGAATGGTATGGACCTTGTGTCACTCTACAGATTTCCTGGTCATGACAGCAGACATATATTATTGCTTTAATAATCATGGTGTCGTGGCTGGATAAAATACATTATGGTGAAATCATGCTAGCAATAAGTATGTGCACGCATGTGTTGTTCCTGGTATGTCCTGACAAGCTACTTTCCCCTCCCCGTTTCCTGAGCATTTTACTAGCCAGATCACTCTTTATATTATTGCCAAAGAAGTTTATGCAGTGATGTTTATTAAGAGTTAATAACAATTAATAGCAAGTTAATTAATACATTGAGGGGGCATCCCAGGGAAACCAGGATAGCAGTGACTGTGTTGAAGCACAGTTGTTGCCTGAATATATTCAGTGGTAGTGTAGACATGACTATAACCTGCTTTTTTATTAATCTAGATAGAGCTTAAAGAGGGCAACAACAACAAAAAAAGTATTTATCCTGGAAAGCCATAGTCATCCTGAATCCATTTAATTCCTACTCCAAATCCCACTGAAATGGAATATTGGGAGACTTGTCTTTCTACAGGATAAGGGAGGAATATTTTGTTTTACTGATACTGCACTGTCCTTTTCATTGTATTTTCATCTCTCAGTTTAAAATATCTATACTTTCCTAACTGAAGAGATCTAAGGACACCCTAGAAGCTCCCCACAAGGGGCTACTGGAGGTCTGAGATGAACTAATCAATATATGCATTATTAAAATGGTGGACAGACTGCCATTACACCTCTGGTGCTGATTACAAATAGAAAGGCTTAAATAAAGCAGCTTACTTGTTCTTTTGTCAGGTCATATATTATGCATGTTCGATTTCCTCTGCAGTCACCACAAAGTGTGGAAGAAATTCAAGAATTCAATAAAATTAGCCTGAAATCATCGGTTGTAAATTAGACATTCATTTAGGTTAATTCTGTTATCAATGCTAGGCTGCTTACTCTTGGCATGCATTTGTCAGGGCTATAGGTTGATAAATCCCACCCCCCCCCAAAAAAGAGAGAAAATGTCAGCTTGTTACCATTTTTGAGCTCTACCATTTTGAGCTAACAGCTACATTCACGTGAATATGCCACACTAAAAAGAATCTTAGCACAGAAAAGCCAAGAGTGTCTTCATACAGAGAATTTCCAATCAAATGTGGCACTGTGGAGTGAGCACATCCATTTTAATGAAGTGCTATGGTGCACCTGACTTTGCCTCAGCCTAAAACTTTTTTGTTCTAATTGCTGCAATGTATCATTTAGCCTACTTGATGTTTGCAGACAAAAATGAATTCAGCAGGAGGGAGAGAGGACAGAGATGGGTGCCACATCATGTTGGGAATTATTCAAACACTTGGCCTATGCAGACTTACTTCATAGCATCAGCAGCTTGACATAACATGCAGAATAGAACACTATGAAGAAGAGGAGATAAAGACACAGGCACACTACTTCTTCTGGGTGTCAACACAGATCTTTGTTTAGAGCTATATATAAAATATACCATGGCGGGATTGAAGGTTTAAGCCATTGCCAGTGCTGTAAGGCTATATATCACTAGCAGCTCCAGCAGCCATTCTGCATGAGGCAGATACCCAAGTATCCCCTATTACAGGATGGAGTATACCTTCCTTCCCACCTGTCCTAACTCTGGTGTCCTGGATAAGGGAAGGGAATATAGCTGTGTCCTCTTCAGGGAATCTAGTGCCACTACTTCTAGTGTCCCTTGCATCAGGGACAAAGGTAAGGGAGAGTGTTTTGTGCCCTCCCCACCCTTTACACATCCACTCAGCTAGGCACAGGTTAGCCCACAGTGTTCTGCCAACAGCGGAAGCTGTCTGAAGAAAGGTACCTACTACCCCTTCCCAGCAGTGCAGGTGAAAACAGGCACTCCTACACAGCCCTTAAGACATGGAAATTGTAGTTGTATTGCTTTCTTCATCAGAGCAGCTCTGCCTCCTCCCTGCTTTCTTTGGGCACGAGCAGGGAGCAGTCCTTTGCCCATATGTTGCTTGTTTGGATTGTTTTTAAAATGTAAGCTTTTCAGGGAAAGGATCTATCTTCTGGCATGTCTATAAAGCACATTGCATCCCTTGGGTAGTGGATAATAATGATAGGCTAAATCTAGGGGTTAATTGTGACTCTGTTGGGGAAGTCTGCAGATTCCCTTTCTCAGTGGCAGCTTCTGAAAAGGATATATCCCAGCACACAGACCCTGCACTCTAGAGGGCTGGATTGGGGTTTACCCTTCTATAGGATGAGCAGGAATGGGATCCACGTGAGAGATAAACGTAATAGTTTTTCCTCACTTGTCCTTCCCTCCTCTTGCACATCATGCTGATTTGGCCATTACAGTTAGCAGATACAAAGACTTATGAAACAAAGGGAAAATAGCATTGTTTCTCACTCATACAAATCAAAATGTCAGATTCTTAAAATAGTCAACATTAGAGTAAGCATAAATCAGAGATGCATCAGCAAGAAATTCCTCTAAATGACTCAACTTGGATGGTGGTATATTCAGAGAACAGCCTAAGTCCGTTGATGTCCATTGTGCAGTTCAACTTTAGTGACTATATGCCATGCACTTCAAGAAGGGACTCAACATTCTTCAAATGATTTTACTGATCTCAAGATCAAGAGTCTCTTACAATAAGTTCTCATCCAATTCATTGGGAGTTCTCAAGTATTTAAAAAAGCAAAATAATGTAGTTAGTTATTTAGCTTTAAACAGTAGCTACTGTGTACATGTGCTTAACTTATTTGACAAAAATGTCCCAGAATTGTTAACATGCCAACTTTTTCATCATGAACTGCAGCTGACACTCTCGTTAATAGTCATGGGAGGAGTTCATTTGGGGGCTCTATGACATTTAATTTCAAATGTAGTTCACAGTATAATCAGCTGATGACTTTAACCTTCAATTTCTGGGCTTTTTGTTTACTAATTCCTCTAATCATTTTAGTTAAACACATTATCAAAATATGCAAGATATGCATCCGAAGAAGTGGGCTGTAGTCCACGAAAGCTTATGCTCTAATAAATTTGTTAGTCTCTAAGGTGCCACAAGTACTCCTGTTCTTCTTTTTGCGGATACAGACTAACACGGCTGCTACTCTGAAACCTAAAATTATCAAAACTGGTTCTGACTGAATTTATTGTTCAAGTAGCTCATATAATTCTTTGTAAAAAGTATTTCCTATTAACCTAAAAGCAAAACCTTCATAAGTAATGTTTGCTTTTGCCACTCATGACATATAGCTCTCCTCCTTGCAATAATTACACTAGTACTTTCCATGTGTTTTACAACAGCAAAATACCACACAAGAACTCTATAAATTAAGCTCTCGTTTATAACCAAGACAGTTAAAACTTTTAAATAAACCACAGTGAATGCTCAGAGGTATAGTACAATACACACTCAGTAAAGGGAAAGTACCAGTAATTCAGTGTCAAACACTCAGCCCATATTCCAGATCTAGCCCACTAGATGTATTTACATGGCCTGCGTGTTAGATTCAGATTCTGTGTAATCAAAATGTTCTTTAAAAGAAACAAACACAAAGTTTCTAGCTTTCATGTTTGTGAAGAAAACCTTCCAAATGTAAACCAGTGGAATGTTCCTGAGTCTGCTATGAAGAAATGTGTGCTCCACTACGTCTCACTCATTGGATTGGGTGTTAGCTCTGCAGCCTAATGATGGCACTTTTTAATGTCAACCTTAACTACTTTACGGCTGATCACATTAAAAGACAGGATAAACAAGAGTGGTGGAAGTGGAAGTTGTTGGAGGGAAGAAAATGCAGAGAGAAGATAGGAAAAGGAGAGAAAAGCAAAGAAAGGAAGAGAAAAAAAAGACAAAATAACAGTGGTCGAGAAGATGACCACATTTTCCCACTGAGTGATGCTGAATGCAAAACTAAGACTTTTAACAAATAACTATAAAAATAGCTAAAAGTTTTGTTACTATATCAAGGACCATATTCTGCCCTTGATCTCTGTATAAATCTCTCAGGGATAGTATTGGGAAATCTGCTGTGGGTTGATGCTAGCATGTATTCCTAGATTGGCCTCTGGACTTCAATTAAAAATGGAAGGTGATTTTCTCCTCTGCATGCATTTGACATTTCTGGAAGAGAGTCTGAAAATAAGAAGAGCTTGCTCAGCATGCTGTGCATCTATTAGGTCTACCTCAGTAGCAAAGGAGCACCTGGTGGTTAACGTGATGACACTGAATGTACCTCAGAACTAATAGCCATTTGCTACTTATTATAAAGCATTAGTGTAGCAATATCAGTGCGCTTCTTTTTTCTGACACAGCAACAGTGATAGCTGTGCAGCACCTTGGATTTCCCATTACAGTCTGGAAATCTTTTGCCTCTCAGGCAGCATTAGCTGTGCCAGAGCTGTTCATTGCAAAGCCTGCTGAAGCCTTGTCCCTTCCAGCTAGCTTTCAAAGTTTGACTCTGACATTAGTCACAGAAGGGATCCCTTCACACAGTGAACAGCTTAATCAGACCACCCTTCCATTTTGCAACACACTAAATGCTCATTGGCCCCTCAGAAAACAAATGTGGTTTCTGTTTAATCAAATGCTGACAATGATCTTCTATCTCATCTTCTTGACACCTATTTGTAGTAATCCAGGTTGAAGTTGATGTTGGAAATTTTATGCTAAAGTTGACAGTACCGAGGACTAGTATTTAATATGGCTTTACATTCCCAATTTACATTATGTTTGTTTCGCTTTGCAGGCCTTCAAGAGGGAGTTGAAAACTAAAGAACCTGTTATCATGAGTGCACTTGAAACAGTACGAGTGTTCCTGGCAGAGCAGCCTCTGGAGGGACTGGAGAAGCTCTACCAGGAGCCTAGAGGTAATTGAATGTAGAACTGTAATAACATATTGATAGAAAGATCAGTGAAGATTGAAAGACCATAAATTCTTACTGCCACTGTCAGGGCAGCTCTTATATACTCCAAGCTGCATTTCACTATTTCATAACCTGAACTAAAAAAAGGATAGCTGAAACCAGGACTTAGCAGTCCTTCTGCACACTATAAAATAAATGTGCATATTTAAAAGAAACACTGTGAAGAGCTCAAAACCTCTTGTGTGGATGCATAACTTATAGACCAATTTGTGGTTCATAAATTCCAGTAGTTCACCTCTTACAGATGGGAAATCCATTCCAATTTGAAAAGCTAAACAAAAAAAATTACAGCTGACCATCCTGAAATTTATTTGGATCAAAATTTAGTATAAAATGCTCTAGGAAAAAGCAGATTGCTGAAATAGAAACTGTGTGTGTGCCAGGTACAACTCAAGATCTTTGCTTGATTCTTGTGGATCCAGTTCAGCAAAGCTCTTAAACATGTTCTTAACTTTCAGGGAGACTTAAGCACATGCTTAAATTTAAGTATTTTCACAAGTGCTTTGCTGAATGAGAATGGACTTAAAGACACGCTCAAGTGCATTTGAAATGTAAGCATGCACCTAAGTTCTTTGTGGAATATGAGCCCCTAACTGAATCCTTAGAAAATTATTACACCATGATATATAATAGGACTAGGATTTGTTGAGGGACCCCAAATGATTGTACATTAATAAAGTATATTTGATAGATGTCTCTGGTTATGAAGAGTTTTCTTGCTGTGCTTTTGAACATTTCAGTCTTGCCCTGATAGTTGTCATTTTCCTTATAAGATAGAGTGTGCTCTAATGGCCTGTTGAACTTCACATTTAGAGCTGTCTCCTGAAGAAAGGGCCCAGAATGTAACCAAACTCCTCCGAAGACAGGCAGATGAGGTCAAAACTGAATGGGATAAACTGAACCTGCATTCTACTGACTGGCAAAAGAAAATAGACGAGACTCTTGAAAAACTGCAGGAGCTCCAGGAGGCAATGGATGAACTGGACCTGAAGTTGCGCCAAGCTGAAGTGACCAAGGGTTCCTGGCAGCCGGTGGGGGATCTGCTAATTGACTCTCTGCAGGATTACCTAGAAAAAGTCAAGGTATCAGTGGGCTTCTACTCTTCAACATTTGTGGGAGGAAAATGTAATTGATCTTGTTTTGATGGTTATTCTCCCTGCATGATTGCCCTCCTCAATCAAGAAACAACTTTTAAAATGAAGTGTTGGCCGATTTTAAAGAATTGCAGCATTTAAAGAATGATCTAATTCCCTAGTAAAATCAATGTTAACATGGAGTTCCAATTAAAAGTATACATCAGTAATTTATGGCAAAAATATAGGGATGTCTAATTATCCCCATCATAGATACTATTAACCCAGGGAAATTAGTATTAAGATTAAATTTAAAATAAATCCAGACATGTTAAGGTATGGAATTGCACAATTAGGGCACCCAAACAAACTTAATTCTACCCTGCATTGTAGTCATGTAACCATACAATTAAGATTGTATAATTGTGTTTGTAGCTCCACATTAGATTAAACTGATTTAAAAAAATATTTTTTTCCTTCCCCCCTCCTGCCCCCATGATGTCATCACAGGGAGGGTATTCCCTCACCTGCCCTCCCTAATGAGTAGATCTGGTGAGTTAGGTTTTTGGTTTTGTTTTGTTTTGTTGTAAATGAAATACTTGGGAATAATGGTCAACTTGCAGAATGCTCTCCAGTAGAACATTATTTGTCAAACTGTTGAAGAGAAAACTTTATTATGAAAAATAACAGGAAAAAATGCCAATTAATCAGAAAAAATTAATTGTAGCCAGTGCAAAAGATTTCCATAAGGGTTAAGTATGTAAGAAATTTGAAGAATCTGCAAGATTCTGTTGTTAAGATCATAGATAACAAATAAAAGGTCTGACATCTATTTTGTGTCTTAATGAATTTTTAACCACTTATACAAAGTGAAACAGCTCCAGCAGCAGAGACTGACTTGATAGGATACTCACTTGGGAGGTGGGAATTCCAGATTCAAGTCCTTTCACTAAATTAGGCAGAGCAGGGGCTTGAACCTGCGTCATCCACATCTCAGGTGAGTGTTCTATCCACTTCGGTGGCTCTCTCTCTAGGTTTGACCAGACATTCCATCCTTGACCTGAGAAACCTTCCCAATGAAAGTTCAGTCAAAACTAAGAAGTATGAGTCGATATTTGCTAACAAAAAAAAGTTTTGTCAAAAAATTCTTTACAAGATCTACTTGAAACCTATATATTAGCCCTAATTATGACTTTTTTTATTCTATTATAACATTGGCTAAACTGCAAATGGAAAAACTGTGTGTGCACACATATGGGATTTCAAATCCTTTGTAAATGATAATATTTCAAACCCTGTGTGAAAGTTGTAGCATAGGTAAGATATATAGCACTCCAGGCAGTGCATTTCTAAGAGATAATAATACTATTTGGGTGGTGGTACAAGGCACTAGGCCAAAGGCTGAGTAATGTTAACTACCTGAGAAGTGCAGTAATTGCCTCAGAATGCACTGCCTAGAGTGTTGTTATTGCTCTAAGGAAATAGAATTTCTACATAAATAGTGAAAGTAGATAGATGTGAGCATTTGCTGGGCAATGTAGTCATGTCTGTAACATAAATAACCTGTAAGAAAGCTCCAGTTGTGTCTGCAGTTTAAAAGCCATCTTCATAAATTACGGAATGCATGATTGTTTGCTGTTTTGCTGTAGCTGTATTAGTCCCAGGATATTAGAGAGACAAGGTGGGTGAGTTAAATATCGTTTATTGGACCAACTTCTGGTTTAACATATTGAGTTAAATATATATTTTTAAAAATTCACATTTTTTTAAGTATATGTTTTAAGAAGAAATAAGTCAAGAAAAGCAGTTCTTCTAAATATAAGATGTACTAGCTTTAGGGATTCTTTAAGTTTGCATTTCAATTTAAACATACACAAAGTATGAACATTAGAGCTAGGTCAAAGAAGCCTTCAGTCCTGATCCTGCAAACATTAAGGCTTTGTTTACCCTACGCACCTTTTAGTGACATGGCTGTGCCGCTAATAGGCGCACAGTGTAGTTGCTCTCCCACCGACAAAAAACTTCCACCCCAAACGAACGGTGGTAGCTTTGCCAGCAGGAGAGCACACCTGCTGACAAAGCACTGTTCACACCGGCTTTTCATCAGCAAAACTTTCGTCATTCAGGGGGATGGGGGTTTCACATCCCTGAACGACAAAAGTTTCGTCATTCAGTTTCCAGTGTAGACAAAGCCTTACACATATTCTTAACTTTAAGCTGAGCAGCCCCATTGACTTGAAGTGTACACATGCATAATAGATTGCAGGATCAAGGCCTCAGTTTGTTGGGTTTTTGTTTTATTTATGTACAGGATCCATTTTATCAGGGGAGTACAGAGTATTGCAGGAAGATTAGAAACAAAAGGCTTTTTTAAGACTATATTTCTACTGGGCAAAGTAGAGCAGCTTTGTTCTTTTCAATCTGAGGAAGTTTGGATATATAACAAACTGGAATGGTTTAGGCTTTGCCAAACTCAGACTTTTACTCTGTATGCAAAACCAAACCCAAACCAGGGCAGTTAATCTCTGGTATCCATTTAATCAGCTATCAGAAGAATTGGAGAGAAGTTAAGAGATTCTACCGAGGGAAGAAAGAATGTATCAACAATAGAAGACTCTTCATGGGACAGACCATGTTTTTTCTCTCATAAAATACTACACAGTTATGTAAATACCTTTCAAGCACAGTAGTAAATCCATTAAGTATCCAAAAGGAAAAAATACTGTCACTTTGATGGGAAAATGGTTAATAGTGCAATATCTGAAGTTCAAATGACTCAATAAATATAAGGAAACTATCTAAATCAGAAAAATCAAAAATATACAAAGGAACACATTCATAAATCTGTGTATGAAAATTCAAGGTGGTGTTGAACAAATGCCAGAATTCTAGATTATGTCATGGGTAAAAATTTCATCCAGTCCTTATTGCCAAATTAATCTGGGTGATTAGTACCCTGGTCAGCCTAACCTGGGTGTGAACTGCAGCATTGCAAACCCCTACCCCATTTCCTGTGGCATCCCTGTGGCTGCATTGACCCATGTGAGGCATGAAGGACATGTCTGCACTACAAGCTCCCATCATGAAACTTTCTCCACCCCATAATGCCATCTCTAACCCGTCATTTTCATGCCTATTTTGAAAATCCAATGAACCCCCGCGTGACTTGTTGCGGTCCGCCATCTCTGACAGAAGTGTGGAGCCTGCGCACCTCTATGCTGTCGTCATGAGTGCGCACCCTGTGCTTGCAACAATCATCCAATACTTGCAGAGATGCAAGAGCAGCCATGGGGAACATGATGATTTCATGGAGCACACTTTGCTGTGGGACATAGGAAGAACCAAATCAAGGTTGGTGGTTGTGGTCACAGAGTAACTGCAGATAGTGAGGCACTGAAATAAGCACTGACTGGTGAGATTGTATTGTAACACAGGTTTGGATAATGAGAAGTGGGCTGCAGTACTTCTGGATGCACCCATGTTCGTTAATCTGTGCGCCCAGCTCGCACCAACCCTTCATCTCAGGGACACCAAAATGAGAGCAGTGCCGATGGCGGAGAACCGCGTGGCGAATACACTGTGGAAACGTGGAATGCCAATTGCTACCAGTCCTTGGGGAATCATTTTGGAGTTGGAAAAGTGACAGTGGTGGCTGTTGTCATGCAAGTGTGCAAGGCCATCAATCGTTGCCTGCTACACAGGACTGTGACTCTTGGGAAAGTGCAGGATGTAATGGATGGCAGCAACGGGGTTCCCAAATTCCGGGGTGGGTCTCTTTGTCTCTCCAGTTGAAGCTGTTCTGCTTTGTATAAAAAACTTGAATAGTCATTGGGCCAGAGAGAGAATGGCTGGGAATGGGTCTATAGCCTGGCACTTAGGGCACTCACCTGGGAGTGGGGGGGACACCCAAGTTCCAGTACCTTCTGCAATGACTATTTAATTATTTATACAAAGTGGAACAGCTTCAACAGGAGAGACTGGGAGAAACCCATACAGAATACCCCATAGCCAGGTGGTGAACCTCAAACCAAAAAAGAGAAATATCAGTACCTTTAGTGCTCTCTTCCCTGGCAAAATTCAGATGTATAATTTACCACTAGAGCAGATCTACTGATGGTAGCAACTGTGGAAGCTGTAGTGTAGCCAGAATGTGGGTATTTTTATCCCTAGGTCATCAACCCACCCAGGGATTTTCATCAGATCCTTATGTCCCTCTTGTAGTACTACAGGAATGTTAGTCTTATCTTCCAATATCAATAACTGGTTGAAAAATTGTATTCAAAGAGAGGTTATCAATGGTTTGCTGTCAAACTGGGAGGACATAGTTAGTGCAATCCTGTACGAGTCTGTCCTGGGTCTGGTACTCTTCAACATTTTCATTAATGGTTTGGATAATGGATTGGAGAGAGTACTTGTAAAATTTGCAGATGACACCAAGCTGGGAAGGGTTGCAAGTGTTTTCTGGAACAGCCTTCCAAGGGGAGCAGTGGGGGCAAAAGACATATCTGGCTTCAAAACTAAGCTTGATAAGTTTATGGAGGGGATGGTATGATGGGATAGCCTAATTTTGGCAATTAATTGATCTTTGACTATTAGCGGTAAATATGCCCATGGCCTGTGATGGGATGTTAGATGCGGTGGGATCTGAGTTACTACAGAGAATTCTTTCCTGGGTGTCTGGCTGGTGAGTCTTGCCCACATGCTCAGGGCTTAGCTGATCGCCATATTTGGGGTCGGGAAAGAATTTTCCTCCAGGGCAGATTGGCAGAGGCCCTGGGGTTTTTTGCCTTCCTCTGCAGTGTGGGGCATGGGTCACTTGCTGGAGGATTCTCTGCACCTTAAAGTCTTTAAACCATG